AAAGCTCAGATGAGGTTTCCTAATCGTTTCCCACAGTTTTCTATGAACATTTGAACTGAGATGTTGGTCACAGACAACAACCTGAAAAATTCTTACTTTTGCAGGTGCTGTTTCTGAGCCGAAACTCTCAGTTGTTCCAGATGTGGGAGGTGGACTGACTCTGCAGTGTGAGGCTAAGTGTTGGTTCCCTGAGCCTCTGATTACATTTCTTGACAATCAGGGAAATGAAATTAGTGGAGAAGTGAAGAATTTCCAGGGTGCCTAACAATCACAAGAAGACTCTGCAGACTGCTACAAAAAGGTTTCACGTTATTTTAATATTTAAAGTTTCAGATCTTAGTTCTGGTTTTATGTGGTTCATTTACCCAATTTACCTCAATCGGGTGGGATTGTGTTGTTAAATTATCATCAGTGTACAGAGAGCTTTAATTTTCCAGGACAAAACTATGTGAATAAAACTAAAAGGTCACAGAGTCACCTGCAGAGTCCACCAGCCGGAGATAACCCAGACCAGGGACTCAGAAATGTACATACCAGGTACACCAGCGCTTTAACACACCTGGATCAGCTGAACTACATAAAACACATATTTTTGTCTATGGTTTACATCCATCTAGCTTTTCTAAAAAAAAACACTGCAAACTGTACATGTATATGAAAACTGTTTAAAATGTAATTAATTTTAATTTAAGATTTGGTAATTATTGTGTTCTTTAATGTCACTTCTGTTTTAAATGTAAACTTTTACAACATGGAAATTACATCACCTGTTTGTGTCATTTTTGCAAAACTTTATTATCGTAATCTTCAAAGGTTCAGTTTCAGGTGAAAGCCTGAGATCCTGCACTGACATCCTTGTAATCGCTGTTGTCGTGACGATCTTTGTAACAGCAGTCATTGCCTTTTTAGTCAAGAAATGTCAGCGTTATGGTAAGTCCGTTTTTTTAAATAATGTGTTTTAAAATTATTTATTTAACTGATTATTTGGCCATCAGAACAAAAAACAAAACAGATCTGTTGCAATTATCTCCGTCAAGGAGGTTGTGTTTCTGGTAGCATTTGTGTGCTTTTCTTTCTGTCTGTAAACGTAGTAGCTTGAAAAGTTTCTAATGAATTCTGATTAAGCTTTGCAGGCGTCATGTTAACAATCTATTCAGATTCAGCTAACATCCACCAAAGTGTTAAAGGTCAACTTAATGATTTATTGGTCAAAAAAGCTGCGTGATTTAGAAACCATAATTCTTACGAGTGTGGTGTCTATTACCAATGTACAGAAAGCTATTTAAATAATATTCCTTGGACATATAAAGACTGATATAGGTCAAAAAACTTAAACTTTCATAAAATTGATTTGCCTTAATTTCTACTGCCTTAGTTTGCACTGGCAAAAGTGACAAATATACTGACATCTAATATTATGTAATGAGCTCAAGTTAGTTATAAATCAGTACATATTGTCAAACATCTACTGTAGGAGCCATTCTTGGGTTAATACCTTATGTGGTCACTAGAGGTCACCTTTTTCTGTTTTGATCATGTAAAGGTATTTAAGGTAGACGCACGTAATCGGCGTCAGGTGTGTCATTAATTGTAAGAAGGCAAACAGTTTGTGACCGTTGCGCTGTTATGTTAAGATGATATGGAATAAAGACCAAAAAGGACAAGATACATACTGCTGGATTTATTGGACTGTTTACTTAATTCATACATACCAGTGACATCACGTCACCCCCCCGACCACGTCACCCCCACGACCACCTCAGTGGCTTCAAGCGTAGGCTTAGCCTCTACATCTACTACTACATAATGTCTGTCCTTCTTACAACCTTAAAGTGAATACTGCAGAGATTCTTTTAGTTATTTGCTGGACTGGGTTTGTGTTTTCACTGTATAAGAATGTTAAGTGTAGCAATAATGTGGACATCTCAGGATACACCAGATCGTTGTGAGGCAGTTTGTACTGACTAATTTCACACAAAATCAAACCTCTTTTTACATTTAACTTTCTTATTTTCACAAGGACTGTATAGTTACAGTAAGTTCTCCATTGAAATCTCTTCACACTAAAAATCTTTACAATAAACAAATGCAGCAAAGTGCAGACAACAGAGAAAATATAAAATTCATACACTAAGAGCAGT